TGAAGAGATGGGGAAGTTATCTGGACCATCTTGGAGCTTGGTTCAGTTAATTTTGACAGACGCTGAGAAATTTGTGTGTCGGGTTCTGATTGAACGAAAAAAGAGTGTCCAGTGGAAACATGCTGTGTGGTGAAAGAACAACTCCAAAGCGACCCAGTCATTTTTCCCCAAGGTCTTTACTGGTGATGAGACACGGTGCTATTCTTATGACCCTGAAAATAAACAACAATTAATCCAGGGGAAGATGTCATAGTCACCTTGAGCCCCAAAAGCTCATCACATGAAAACAAAGATCAAGATGATGCTCATTTGTGGGGTTCTGTTTGTTTGTTTGTTTGTTTGCTTGTTTGTTTCTGATGTGAGGGGGGATAGAGCATTTGGAGTTCATTCCACCAGGTCAGATTGTTAATCAAGCTTTCTATTTAGAGGTTCTTAAAAGATTGCATAACAGTGTGTGACCAAAAAAAAAAAAAAAAAAGCCTTGATTTGTGGCAGATGTGGGACTGGTTTTGCCACCACAACAATGCACCTGCTCATGCAGACACCTCAGTGCACCATTTTGGGGCCAAAAACAGCATGCCTCTCTTGCCCTAAGGACCTGACTTACCTTACTTGTTCCATGCAACTTCTTTTGTGTCAGCAAATGAAGAAGGACATGAAAGGACAGCGATTTGATAATGTAGAAGAGGTGAAGAAAAACGTGTAGGAGGTGCTGTCAGTCATCCAAACAGATGAGTTTGAAAAATATTTCCAAGAATGGAATTACAGATTTGGAAAATATATTAAGCATGATGGAGTCTGCCTTGAAGGTGATAAGGTTGTTTTGTGAAAAAAACAACAACAACACTTACCTTTGAAAAAAAAATCCGGTTTTTGGTGGAGGTACCCACTCATATATCCAAGACCAAAGTTGAGAAGGTAAGGAAGGACAAAGAATCTATATTAAAAGAAATAGAATGACAAAAATAGAAATAATGAGAATGCTGATGCATTGTGAAAAGTGCAGGCAATGTCATTGCATAATATGGACAAAAGTTGTGAAATGAAAATTTAATTTGCTGTGTAAATTTTCTCTGAAATCATAATTAATTATTATATTTTTTAGTTTTTATTTTTTAATTATTTTATTAGGGGCTCATACAACTCTTATCACAAACCATATATATAAATATAAATTGTGTAAAGCACCTTTGTGCATTCATTGCCCTCATCATTCTCAAAACATTTCCTCTTCACTTAAGCCCCTGGCATCAGATCTTCATTTTTCCCCTACCTTCCCGCTCCCCCCTCCCCCATGAACCCCAGATAATTTATAAATATTGTTTTGTCATATCTTGCCCTGTCTGATGTCTCCCTTCACCCATTTTTCTATTGTCCATCCCCCAGGGAGGAGGCTATATTTAGATCCTTGTAATCGGTTCCCCCTTTCCACTCCACCCTCCGGGTATCACCACTCTCACCACTGGTCCTTAAGGGATCATCTGTCCTGGATTCCCTGTGTTTCCAGTTCCTATCTTTACCAGTGCACATCCTATAGTCTAGTCAGATTTGTAAGGTAGAATTGGGATCATGACAGTGGGTGGGGAGGAAGCATTTAGGAACTAGAGGAAAATTGTATGTTTCATCGTTGCTACACTGCACCCTGACTGGCTCTTTTCCCCGTGACCCTTTGGTAAGGGGATGTCCAATTGCCTACAGATGGGCTTTGCACTCCCTCTCATTCACAATGATATGATTTTTTGTTCTGATGATGCCTTTTACCTGATCCCTTCAACACCTCGTGATCGCATAGGCTGGTGTGCTTCTTCCATGTGGGCTTTGTTGCTTCTGAGCTAGATGGCTGCTTGTTTACCTTCAAGCCTTTAAGACTGCAAATGCTATATCTTGTGATAGCCAGGCACCATCAGTTTTCTTCACCACATTTGCTTATGCACCTGCATTGTCTTCAGCGATTGTGTTGGGAAGGTGAGCATCATGGAATGCCAGTTTAATAAAACAATGCATGCTTGCATTGAGGGAGTACTTAAGTGGAGGCACAATGTCCATCTGCTACCTTAATACTAAACCTATAAATATATGCACACAGATATTACATCCTCATATATAAATATATTTACATATATACATGCCTTTATTTATACCTCTTTATATGCCCTTTGCCTCCTATCTCTTTCCTCTATTTCCTTTTACTTTCCTCTTGTCCCACTATCATGTTCAGCCTTCATTTGGGTTTCAGTAATTCCTCTAGGTTACCTTATCCTGGGTCACGCCCTACCAGGCCTCCTACACCCCCCTCACCACCTATTTGGATAGCTCGTTGTTCCCTTATCCCTGGGTTTGTTAACACCACTTCCTTTCTCCCACCTCCCCCTCTCACTGGTCCCCCGAGAAATGTCAGTCCCATTGTTTTCTCCTCCAGATGGTTCATCCAGCCTATCTTATTTAGACAGACCTGCGGAGATAATAACATGCATAAAAACAAAGCAGAGCAAAACCAAGCAACAAAAGAACCAAAACAACAACAATAAACCAATGACAAAATAAAGCACAACAACAAGAAAGAAAAGCTTGTAGTTAGTTCAAGAACTGTTTGTTGGCCTTTAGGAGTGTGTTCTGGTCGAGTCTGATGGGGCGCCATGCCCTGGTTCCTAAAGTCTATTTTTGGTATTCTCTGGGGACTTTATTGCTCTGTTCCCCTTGCTATTATGTTCCATGCCCTTAGTGTTTTGCCTAGGTATGTGGGATCAGATCAGGTGGAATTCCCACACTGTGTCTCCAGTGTTGTCCCCCGTAGGGCTAGGGGTCAGTGAGGGATGTTGTGTCTCATAGTGGGGCCGGCCATATGGTCTTCTCTGTGGATTGGCTGCTCTCAGCAGGAATATTGTCGTCAAGGTTTTGTGGGCCAGGGTGTGCTCCACTCTCTCTTCCTCCCCTTTCATTTGGTCTCTTGTGCTCTTGTCAGACATGTCCCTCTCCCTGAGCTGCAGATTCAGTGCTGTCCTGTCCTCTGAAATAAATTCTCCTGGGGGAAGGGGCAAGTGTCCAGGTAGTTGGGATTGGGGCTGGCGCCTCAGACCTCTTCACTGGTTCCCTACTCCATGCCAGCATGTTGCATTCACATCTTGGAGCACTGGGTTGAAGTCTCTTTCCCTGTGGAGATACAAACAACACCCTCCCCTTGGGTGACTTAGTGCCCTGTGCCCCTGCTACCCATTTCTTTTCTTTTTTCCTTCTGTCCACCTCTTTTTTAGTTGGCTACCATATGTACCCCTGGATTTGGTCTGGCCCCTGCCATACTACCTGGTCCTCACACTAGGAATGTTTGTATACAGTAGCTTTTCCCCTATGACCCTTTTGCATATTCTTTTTTAAAGCGTACCTCAGTGGACTCATGTTGTACTTGTCCTTTTTGCTTGTCTTACTTCACTTAGCATGATTTCCTCCAATTCTTCTCATGCAGAGATGTGTTTCATACATTTATCACTGCCTTTTAGTGATGCATAGTACTCCATTGTATGTATGTACCCCTGTGATTTTTTTTTAATTTAAATACAGCTGAGTAATTGTTGTCATTCGTAAAAGTGGGTTAAATCTATTCCTTACCTTTCAATGAAATGTAAACACTGTTCTTTTTAGTTGTACCAAGGGATTTGTTCTGTTTATTCTGTAGCAGAAAATAATCCTATAACTAGAAATGGTATATTTGTGTTTAACTTCATTTTGCAAACATTTGTTCAATTATTACTGGACATGTAACCTCTAATTTGGCATGGCTAGAATTGTACAGTGATAGAAAAACTTGTGGCAGATGAGTGTAAAGTATACACTGACAGAACATGCACACAAATGCCCTTTCCCATTCTGCTATTCTTTTTCTCCCCTGCTATTTTTTGTGCATAAGGCTATAAAGTAACCTCATGCCTTTTGGTAGTACTACCTGACATTTGAATACTCTCTGTTCGAACTTCAAGGTTGTTGCAAGCATTGAGAAGTGATATGTGGCAAGTTCAGCAGCAAGGTTGGGGTACTACGCTGTGCCAGCTTTAAAAGAAAAAAAATGTAAAAACCATATAACTGATTCGCAGTATTATAGATTCACAAGCTATGTAGCTGGAGAGAAACCAGGTTTGCCAAACATCATACACAGCACATACTAAAACTGCTATATGGAATGTAATATTCCTGCTCTCTAGACCTTCTCCCCATTTACAATAAATCATTCACCCATCCTTGCTCCCCACCCCTCACCCCTGCTCTTCACCACCCCAGTATAATAATACAGACCCATGGAACATTCAGAAAATGAAGGCTTGTTTTAAAAATCACCAATAGTCACACTATATGATGATGTCATTTGGAGTATCTTCCTCTAGTCCAACAAAAAAAAATATTTTTAACAGATTTTTTGCCAGGAGGCCCTTGACAAACTAAATGAGATTTCAGGATAGGCAGATGGATTATATTTTAACCACATGTCTATGCTTTAAAAAAAGTTCTAAAATTATAAAGATTGCATTTGGGGGAAGAGGAGCTACCTTTCAAGGAGAGGTGCCTTAACCACTTAGGAGCTTTCTGTTTAGGGTGGGTGGATCCATGGGGACATTGACTTAGGTCATTCATTGGGATAAGCTTTGTCAATCAACCTTGCCTAGAAAATGAGGCACAGAATAAGGTCACACTATGGGCAAAATTAATGCGAAAGTTGGCTACAAAAGGAGGGGGCTTGAAATCTGAACCAAGAAGAAGATCTCTCAGTCTCATTCTGCACTATTTGGTTACCACATGGCCTCTGCTGAAGTACCTCTGTTATAGCCCAGAGGTGACACCTCAGTTTGAGCCACTTGCACCCCCAGCCCCATCTAGCCCTGTGCTGCTACTTTTGCCATTGCTGCTCCCACCTCCATAACCCAAGGCTTCATCTTTGTTGTCTCCACTGCCGCCCAAGCATCCGTGAGTCATTTTCTGTCCACCTCTGGGTGCACCATCTGTCTCTGAGATAGTTGCCACCTTAAGAGGTTTCAAGAATTGGAACCTGCCACCAAGGGGGTTGCTAAAGAGGTCACAGCTAGTTTGTCCAGTGAGTCTGGGGAGCAATCTGACAGGAGTTGTGCAAGTTGCAGCAGCCACAGCAGCCAATGCGAAAATAAGAGGGTACCTGGGCCCATGAGATGGCAGGCTTGGTCAGGTAACCATTTCCTGGATAGGCTGGTGCAGACAATTAGAAATCATACACTGGTGCTCTGAAACATTTAAGATGATTGTGTCAAGGTAGAGGCCCTGTTTTTAAGGGCAATTCATGACTTTCAAAGAAAATATGCTGAACTCAATAAGCCTGCTATGTGATAGGCTATTTCAAATCATCAATGTAGAATATGAACCTACAGAAAAAGAATGTGAATGGAATTCAGAAGGTGCAGATTTCAGCAGTGTTGGGGAGGTGGAGGATAGCACCTCTATTGAAATGGGTGCTTTAGAGGGTAAGGAAGGTGAAGACTCTACAGAAAATAAGAGGACACTGAAGGAAAAGAAGTCCACAAAGAAACTCCTGAGGCAAAGGCTGAAGAGAAAGCAGATTCTAAAGATTTTCTAGAAGCAAAGGCGAATGTAATGGAAGATCCTAAAGAAATCCCCCAGGCAAAGAAAGAAAGTAAAGAACAGCCTAAAGCAATAGAAAGAAAGAAAGGGGCTACAATAAAAAAGACTCCTAAAAGAACTCCTGAAGCAAGGCCTAAAGGGAGAATTAATCTTAAAAGAGCTCTGAAAGGAAAGCCTAATAAAGAAGATCCAGAAGGCATCCCTGACTACTGGTTGACTCTTCGAAAGAATGTTGATGTGCTCAGGCCTGTGATTCAAAGTATGATGAGCCCATTCTGAAGTTCTTGTCAGATGTTAGCTTGAAGTTCTTAAAGCCTGGGCAGCTTATAAATTACACATTTAAACCTCATTTTCTTCCCAATCCATACTTCAAAAATGAAGTGCCAACAAAGATGTATATTATAAAGACAAAGCCAGATCACGGTGATCACATTCTCCCCTTTGGATGGATAATTGAAGACTGCAAAGGTTGTAGGATGAATTGGAGAATAGGAAAGGATGTTACTGTGGCAACCACCCATGGTTGTACAGCAGTCACTGGGGACATTAAAAACCAGCCAAAAGTGGTTCCCAATGCATCATTTTTCAATTATTGCAATCCTCCTGAGATTCCCCAAATCAGAAAACTGGTGCCAGAAGATGCTATCCTTGATGAGGGCTTTGCTACTGGTCAAATTTTACATGATAAAGTCATCCTGAACTCAATTAACTAGTAATCAGGAGAAGTAAAAAGTACATATGAAAATGATAAAGCTTGTGGAAATAGGAAATATAAAAATTAAAATAAATATTATTAAAACATTAGTAATTGTCAGAAAATTTGTTCCAAAAACCCACAAAACTTTTTGTAGAATTGAGCAGGCTTATATAACCTTGGGGGAAAAAACAAAACAAAACAAAACACACACTCAAAAAGAAACTCTGCCCTATAATTGAACATTAGTGTTCTTTATAGTTTTGTGTTCTAATATTGTATTGGTGGTCTGTTTTTTAAATTGTCCAAAAAGTACCTCAGTATTAGTTTATTCTATCTAGCCTGTTGTAAAGTAATAGTTTCCAAAATGTATAGATTGAAATCATTTATCTAAAATCATGTTAGTTTGGTGCTTCAGAGTATTGTTTTGTGTGTGTGTGTTCAATCCTCTTGCCATATTCCTATTAGATTGCAGCTGTGAAAACCAGCAATATTATTTACTGAGATATATTTACTTGAAAAACAAAGTTCCTGAAATATTTCTGCAAGTGTTTTGCTGTTGTTTGCTTATTTCAGTCCAGAAGACTAAGGTCTTAAGTCTGCTTGCACACATTGTGCCTTCACTACTTTGCTATGGAAATGCAGTACTTAATACTAAGCAGACTGCTTGGAAAAAAGAAAACATTAGAATATTTTAAAGGATATACATAAATATCATATATGTTATAACTGTGAACTTGTTTGTTTGACAATATGAAATTATTGTATACAACTCAGATGTTACTAGAACGGTACTTTAAAAAATATTACCAATATTGTGCAATTGTAAATCAAAGTTACTAATCATATTTTTGTAATAAATTTTGCTTTTCCTTTCACTGAAAATGATCACTGTACATCATTTGATATCATGTTCTTTTATTTCAACCTAAAATAAACAAATAAATGTAAGAAAAAGTGCTACATGCTATAAAAAGATAGCATTTTGTCTTAATTATAAAATTCTGTTCGTTGTCATAATAAAGGAAACTACTGGGGAAAAAGAAAATACAAAACCAAAAGATCATTATTGTTAGTATCCTATGTTCACAGCTCTCAGTTCTTTTATTCGAGGATATACATTCAACTAACTGGAAAATTATTGCATTGGAGAGTAGAAAATGAAGGTGAGGAGGTGAAGGGGACGAAAAAGAAGAGAAGGAATGGAGAATTGGAGGGAGGGAAAGGGAAGGGTAGCATGGTGGAGAAGAAGGAGGAAAGGGTAGGATAACAAGAGGAGTGGAAGGGAGACAGAGTGATAGAACAGGGGGCATTTACCATTTTCCCTTCCACATATATTTCCCTTTAAGGCCTAACAAGGAAGAGTTGTGTCCTAAGAAATACAGGGTTTGAGAATTTCTGAGTCCCCGAGCTGCTAACCACAAGGTCAGCAGTTTGAACCCACCAGCTACTCTGCAAGATAAAGATGGGTCTTTCTACTCATATAAAGATTTATAGCATGAGAAACACACAAGAATCAGTTTTACTCTGTTCTATAGAGGTACTACGAGTCACAATCAACAGGATAACAGTGAGTTATAAAATTGGTGGTGCTGTTGGATAAGCTTTGTACTACTTACCACAAGGTTGGGAGTTCAAACCCACCAGCCACTTGGCGAAAGAAAGATGAATCAGCTTTCTCATTAATGTTTTACAGCCTCTGTAACCCTACAAAGGGTGGTAAGGAGTCAGGATTGACTGATGACAGTGGTTTTGATTTTTTCATTTAGTTATAAAATTACTTAAAAGTCATTTGAAATCCCATCATAAATGGTTCCATAACTCACTTTAATCCCTGATTACCAATAGTTTTCCCTTCCATGTCTATAAATGTAATAATATTTCAATCAGTGAACATACTATAACATTTACAACAAATCACATTTGGTTAGGTATTTAGCTTGTTTATTGCATTTGGGTAGATGAGAGGGACAAATTCATAGACACTCATATTTGTATAAGAAAGAGCTTTATATGCAAGAGCAATTGAATATTGAGAAAACATCCCAGCCGATCCAAATCATGTCTATAAGTCTGATCTTAGCCCATACGCCCGATGTGACTCTATAAAATGCTCTTTAGACTCATGAAACACATACAATAATGCTGAATGTGGGAAGATTACAGGCCAGTGGGTGGAAAGTCTTATGGATCCAGTGGTAGTAGATGCATCTCAGCGCTAGCATGGGTCTCCATGTGGCTCCTACAGTTCCCAGGGCTCTGGTTCCATCAGCCTCTCTCCATGTTGCTTGTCAACAGCAATGTCCTGTAGGGAGTGAGTGAGTGTTCACTTATCTCCTTACCACCTTCAAATGAGGTCATCAAGCTGCCACCTGATAGGCAGGCTAAATTCCACCCCTTCAATCTTAAGTCTCAAATTGACAACAGGTTATGTATCTACCACAGACCACCTCTTGTCAATCTGACACCTTCACACAACTCTTTAGCCATATATAATTCTAAAATAAACAACAATAAAATAATTTCTGTACCTAAGAGGCTAAAACTAAAATGCATAAAATTCAATATGTGCCACCCTCATTTAAACATAACATTCTATAAGTGAAAAAAAACCCAGAAAACAAAAGGAAAAAAAACCTAAAAATATCCTATGCCTAACTATTGCAGTTAAGTAACACCTACACCATAATTCTATGAACATATTCCTATGAATATATTCCCCCACTTATGAAAGTTTGCAAGCCAGCTACTTCATGCGTTTATCTACCCCATTTTCGGTATCCAATTTGTATTACTGCCCATTAATCAACCCAGTGCTCTGAGGAGACAATCATATTCTTTGACATGAAGAATTTTTATTCCAGTTGGAACCTTGTGCATCTGCATCCATAAGCAAAGTCAAATCAGGGCAGGCCATCCAAAGTCTGCATTATATACCAGTTCAGTCTCAAAAATCTTCTCTTCATTTGGTGGGATTCTGCTCAACTGAATGTGGGCTGCCTCACTTAGCCTCATCAGGGTGCCCATTGGCTGACTTGCCTTTAGACCATCACATATTCTCAATAACTCTAGCCCCCTTGGGCTAGGTCATGAACTTCATACCAGTCAGCCTGCTTTCTGCTTCTCTATTTCTGTAAACAAGATCCACAAATATCAGTGGCTAGACTCAACTCATCTCTTTATTACTGGATTTCTCTCACTTCTACTTAACAAGTGGATCCAGGTGGTCACCTAGAAAGCATTTCAGCCTGCGCATAGGCTCCCTTTAACAGGTCAGTCCTAGAGTGGAGTTTGCTTCATGGTTCCAGATTATTTTCAGCTTCTGACAAAACCATTAGTTCAAGACACAAAAAGCCAAAGTTCATTTTTCTTCAATCTGTGAATAGCCTCCTAGGCAAGTCCTTTGGAATGCAAATGTTCTGAGTACTCCAAAGCACTGGGTAGGACTTATCCATTCAGAACCTTCTTTGCAGACTTGTCCTAAACCCATTTAAAGATACAATTTTAATTGCTCCAGGAAAGTGGGCTTACAAGCTCTCTATTTTCATACTTCCCAATAATCATTTCTATCAATCATTATATCAACAATAATAAGCAGAAGAAATAAGTAAAAACAAAGTATAATTGTATTCTAATCTCAATTCTTAAAACAGTCAAGTTCATTCTGTATTTAACTTATCTTAATTCTTTATCTAATCTATTGATAAAAAATATGGGATTAAGCCTCTGACAGCACCAAGCCAAAGCCAGGTTTCCGGTCAGTCATTTTCTTTAAGCAGCTCTGAGAAATTCAAGGGGTGATTTTGTCACCTGAGCTAAAAATATATATTAACTACAATCATTTTCATCATTGCACACAAGAATAACCAAAGATTACAACTAATGAAAAGAATCAAAACTTTAACTTCCTATGTTCTTTTGAGAAAACAACACAGTAAACCCCATGGCCATATCTGACCTCTGGCTAGCCAAAGAAGAAAAACTCCCATGAGGCAGAGGTCAAACAAGCATTCACTCTCCATCTTTATGATTGGTTTCTCTAGTACCCCACCCCCAAGGTGTCATAATGAGTTAGTCTGGGTTGACTAGAGAAACAAATTCATAAGCATTCATAGTTGTCTAAGAAATAACTTTATATACAAGAGCAATTTAATATTGAGAAAACATCCCAGCCCAGTCCAGATCAAGTCCATAAGTCCAATATTAGCCCATATGTCTAATTCCTCTTCAGGCTCATGAACACATGCAATGATGCCTAATGCAGGAAGATCACATGGCGGAAGAAGCATCTCAGCACTGGCAAGGGTCTCCATGTGACTCCTACAGCTTCCACGACTCTGACTCAATCAGCCTTTCTCCATATGGGTTGTCAACAGCAATGTCTTGTAGGGAGTGAGCGAGTATCTGCTTTTCTCCTTAGCGCCTTCAAATGAGGTAATCAAACTGCTACCTGATAGACAGGCTAAACTCCACCCCTTGCCTCTTAAATCTCAAATTGACAACAGATTATGTTACTACCACATCTATTATTTATACAAATCTGGAAGCCAATTGTTGCTTTTGATGTCTTTGTTTCTGAGATTTTTGCACCCATTAAGTCGAGGTATGGCAGTAGATTTACATATGTGCCTGGGCTAAAATGAAGACTATAACAAATATGATGAATCTGGATTCACCCATCCATTGTTTCCAAAACACACACATCACATAAAGTAGAGCCCTTACAGCTCCTACATGAACTGCAGTATCAGTATTGTATCATACAACTCTTACTAATGTATGTTGCCCCCTCCCTCTCTGGTTTTTTTCAGGACTTAACAAATGCATGCTCATTAAAGAATATTTATAAAATAGAAGCAGAAATGCAGAAGTTGAAAAAATCACTCAAAAGCACACAGCCTGAAAATAAGCCCTCTGTGTAGATTAAAATACGTGATTCCAGTTTGTGTAAGCATATGTCAAAAGTTCCTTGTTCAAATCAAAAGTTGAAATCAAGTTAGGTGAGGATCAGAGAAGCTAATTGAAAGAGAGTTTATTGGTGTTTTTAACTTTTGTGTTTAAAACGCAGATTAGGAACAGGTGCTGTGT